GACTACTTTTTTAAAAAAAATAAAATTGGATAGCAAAGTTCTGCTCTGCAAATTTTTTTCAATCACTGATCCATTTCTTTTTTTATTTTAAATTAAGGATAATATAATTATTTTACAAAAGATATTAATATCAAAAATATCTCATTTGAATCCACCCCATACATGGCGATTTTCTGACGACTTTTGTCAGTCTTTCAAGGCATGAGATTTGTCTCGCTGGGCCTCTTCAATACTGTTGGCGATACCCTTTCGCTAGATTAGGCCGGGTTCTTGCATTTTTTGTGAAGGATTGTTTATTAATCTTCACTAGGGCCATGCGTCCAAGACTTGCAGGCTTTGATTTTCTTGTTTGTTTCTGGTTGCTTTTATTTACGTTTCTACTTGTTTAATTTGTTGCTTGTGCTGGACTTGGACTTTTTCTTAGTCTTAACCTCAGAACTAATGTAAAGCTCAAGTCTTTATAATTTTTCTTTTTTATCTTTTAATAAAATTGTCCTTGTTTCCAAAAAATAGTTGTTAAAACCCTATATAGTTAAAATAAAACATAGCCAGCCATTACTTCATGATAAGCTTGAAGTTGAGGAAGACACTGGTGAGGGTGACTTGATTTTAATGATACTCTGGTTATGGGTGTGGTTGGATAATTGAGCTGCTCAAATCTGTGCCTCTTCAACATTACTGAGGATCTTGACCAATGCCTTCAATAGATCTTCTGTTACTTCTTCCTTTGTCATTCTAGATTTAAGTTACTACTTTAGCATGTTTAAAGTGTGGAGTCTATTTCTGTGTAGCTTGACTGTACTGGCTTTTGTAATTTCTGGTTGCATTGTTACTCCCATAAAAACCAGAATATCGCCAGCCGTTATAATAATTAATGAAAATAATCAATAAGTTTCTTACAATTCAGCTCTAAGTCCACATATCACAGCTACAAATCTAATCCAATCTGAACTTCTCCATGCAAAGCCAGGGATCTTACCATAAAACAATCAATGCCATTCCTAATAATATCCCCATGGCCATATACTCCTAACAATCAATGCTGAATTTAAAAAAAGAAAAAAAAATATAATTATTGATTCTTATAGTTTGATTGAATTTTGCTATTAATTTATGTAGTTTCTTTCAGCATTTTCAATCATTTTCAATAATAAATGTCACACAATCTTGCTGAAATTAAAGGGATTGAAAATACTAAAAAAAACTATAAAAACTAAATAAAATTTGATAAAACTATAGAAATTGATGATAGTGTTTTTCTAAAAACAAAAAATGAAAAACTACCCTCAATTCATGTGATTGCATGAGCAATAAATAAAGGATACCTCACAAATCAATTCAAAATACAATGAATAGGATCAATCCCTAGAGAAAGTGTGAGTATCCTCTTGCCATGCTTGAAGATATGAAGCAGCAGATCTTTAAATTAAAGCTAAAGTATACATTTAATTATTTAATTTTATTAAGTGTCTTTTTATTTTTTTTAATCCTAAAACCTTTAGTTTTATCACAAAAAAATTTTACATTGACCTTTTAAATATTGACAAAACATACTCAAATCTTGATCTATTAAACAATGATTGATACAAAAAATAATTATTTGAAACTAAGGATATTAGAGTTAAGAAACTAAAAAGATACTTTATAAAATTATATGATTAAAATGAAATCTTATATACAATTAGATGACCGAAAGTATACTTTAACCTTAAATATATAACTAAATTAGAGAACTGAAATCATCATGGAAAAGTGGCTAGAAAGGATAAAAGAAATAAAAAGGTTAAGGATTCTTCTAATGAGTGTAAGAGCTTTAGATTTAGGGTCCCTTAGTGTCCTTATTTCTTGAGAGAATTACATACAAGTTTTACATAAAGAAATTAATTATTACGAGGTTAATTAACAACTGAATTAAAGAAGAGAGAATTATATTGAAGTCTCACACAAAAAAATTAATTATTACAAAGTTAATTAACAACTAACTTAAAGGCCTTAGTTTAGTTATTTTTAGTTCAGTTGTTAATTAATCTTCTTATAATTAATTTTTTTGTGTGAAATTTTAATATAATTCTCTCTTATTTCTTTTTGTAATAACCCTTTTTTTTAATTGGCTTTATATATAAGTTTATCACATGAGACTCATGCTTGTTTGCAGCGATAAACAATGCCCATTTTTTCCCTATTAGACATAAAATAAGTGAAAAAAATGAAAAATTAATCATTTTGATTATTACAATTTTGATTCAGTTGAAATTTAATTTCTAAATTTTGACTCAATACCACGTAATTTATATGATTTTGATATAATTAAAACTTAATTCTTGAATTTTGACTCAATAATACAACTTATTTCGTATAGATGGAACCATTTAAAATATTGATTCCTATATATATTTTTAAAAAATAAGATTATAAGTACCAAAGTTATTTCTTGAAATTTAAAGACTAATGTTTAAAATTGCTAAGAATACAAGGACTGACTTGTACTTAGTTAAAATTTAAGAACTGAATTATATAATAAAGTAAAAATTATAAGAACAAAATAATTATTTATTAATATGATAAGTATATATGTTTATATATTGCTGGTCCTATGTATGGGAAAGAAATAAAAGATTTTTATGTTATATTTATAAGTCATATTATAAAAATTTTATCACAAATTTTATTTTCTATCCTTTAATAAATGTTAAAAAGAGAAAATATATTATTAAAATATATATATATATATATATATTAATGAGTTGTAAGGCTTTTTTTAATTTGTTGAAGCATGTTAGAAATGGTTTATAAATAAAATTAGAGGAGTACTTCATTCAATTCAAAATATAAGTAGTTTGTAATAATAATGCACGTGCCAATAAAATTATTATTTTAATACAAATATACATTATGTTTTTTTTTACTCTTTTTTTTGGTCCATTATGTTTTTTTTTTTTTTTTTTACTCTTAGCTCCTGATGAGTGTCAAAAACTTCACACACGAATAACTTCACTTATACTTTGAATGGGACCACATCAGACAGGAGGGAGTATGCCTTAAGTCATATACGCAGACTCCGTCTACACCAATCCAAAAAGTAAACCAACCACATCCTCACGAGAAACGTACTTTTTAATTCATTAAGGAGGGTCTGTGTGGTTTATTTATGAGCAAGATATTGATTGTTGGAAGCGATTTTAATTCATTCAGTTAATTCGCCAGCATTTGCATTCAATAATTTACGCTCAATTTTTAAGTTATTAAATACAAATTTAATACTTTTTCTGTTAAAAAATATAAAATATTTTTAATTAAATATCATCTTAATAAAGTAGTTAATTATCTTTAAATTAATTATTTTTTAATTTTTTTATTTAATAAGGTATTTCACATATTAAATAATTTATTTATTGTGAATATTTTTTGAAGAAAAAGCATATTAATTATGTTTTAAAATATTAAAAATGCCTCAAAAAATGTACATTTTTTAATAAGAGTATAAAACACCAGAACACATAGTAAAACATCAACAAATAAAAATGTAAGGACTTAAAACATAAAAAAATATAAAAATTAATAATAAAACGTAAATAAAATATAGGAAGTTAAAATTATTTTTTTAAAAAAATATAAAAAAATTATTATGCACCGATAGTACGCAATAACAGTCATAAATATCGAAGGCTATACCTTTTATAGGGATTTAAATATAGAGAAAAAATTTGTTTACCTTTTTACTTATATCCTCATAAAATTTGTATTCTACCTCTACCATGATTTAAACATCCATCTCCCTCAATACACACATATACTTCCTCACATTTTATTTATAGATCACTTTTGATATGTTTTTATTAGAATTAATAAAAAATTTTTAAATTTTATTAACTTTATTTTAAAATTTAATAGGTTTCTATTTTTAGGAAGAAAAAATTTATTTTTTATGATTTTTTATAATATTTAATAAAAATAAAAAAATGAACATAAAAATAGTAAATTATTCTATAAATAAAGCTAAAATTAATTTTTTTTCTTCCTTATAAACAGGACCAGCGTATATATCTACTTTCATACATGTGATTAAAATTTATAAAGGTTCTCTCCCACCAAAAAGTGAGGAAAAAGCTGCAAAAGGTTCAATAAAGTACTAACTATTTAAACTACAAACTATTTAAACTACAAGAGACTTTTGATTATTTCATAAAGATTAAAAAAGTAGTTAAAATTTAAGAGTGATTTATATTGTTAAAATGATAAAAAAAAAAATTACAACTACATTTGGCAAAGTCTACTTCCCGTGGGTAAAAAAAAAAAATTGATCCGTCACTATCTTTAAATTTTTTTTTCTTATATATACATTTTTTATTCAAAAATAGAAAGTATTTGTTAGATAAAATGTTAAGAAACTATAACGCATTTTGGATCTTTAAAAATGCAATTAATGAGATTTTTCTAAAAATACCATAAATTGAGTGATATAATTAATAAAATTTTTTAATTGAGACACCTATGGATAAGTATTTTTAAAGAAAATTAAATAAGACATTGGAAGTCAGTTGAAAAATGACTTGTAATATTGGATGGAAGGATTAATATCTTTCTACACTAAAGTTAATAAGAGTATTTTTAAAAAATAAAAATTTGATACTATTGATTTTTTTTTTGGGGGAAAATGTCACACATTTTATCTAGACTAACATCATCAGATAAAAAATACATTATAATTTATACTCCCTCCTCTCCTTGTTGTAAGGAAATCTTAACTACCTCATCAGAACTAAAGAAAAAAGATAAGTCATAAAATTTGTCTGAAAATATAAATTTTTAATTTCACCCCAATTCAAAAAAAAAATTAAATTTGTAATACATTTTCTTTCATAATTAATAAATTTAAAAATCAGTAATATTGCAAAGATGTAATTAATACCGACACCTTATATTAAGGATAAGAACATCTTTCGAAGAAGCGCCCCTGTAATAAGAAGAGGAGGGAGTATTTTGAAAAAGTGAAAGTACCATTATGGGCTTAAATCTTCCAATAGGAACGAGAGGCTGCAATTAATAATGACAAATATAAAGAAAGTATATATGAATTTACATTTGAGTATACAAGACAAGCACCGCGTTGGATTCCCAACAAATGGTTGGAGTTACAAGAAACTTCGTCAGTCGTATGCACATTATAGCAACTACCATTAAAAAGAGCAAAAGAATAAAGAAAATTAGGGTATGTTTCACCAAACACGGAAACACACCTCATTTTTCACCTCCTTTTATCACTAGATTGATACAAAGACACTTTGATCAGAGACAGATTCAGTAATCTCCCTCTGATCTTCTTCACCATTTTTATCATGAAACAACCAGCCATTGTAACTAAAACTGCTATGGTTCTTCCTCCCACAAGCCCAGAAAGAGCAATTAGAATCAGTACAATGCATTCTGAATTCCCATCATTGTCTGTTCTTGCAGATTCAACAATGGAACAAGTTGTTCCATAGTCAGGCTTTTCTTCATCTTCTTCTATACACTCCAGTTTACTTCTTTGGATCATCTTTTCTTGATCTTCTATCTCAAAACTTGCTGACTTTACTCCTTCTATGGTGGTCAAAGCTTCACTTGTTGACTCCGCCATTTTGTTCTTATTTCTCTTTTCTTTCTTCTCTTTCTTTGGGGCTCTCAACTTCCTAGGCACAAGGATCTTCATCATCTTGGATTTCAATTCAGCCCTGTGTTTACCTTTTCTTTTACCTTCAGAAATTTTACATTCATCAACTACTTTCTTGTTTGAGTCGTTGTCTTCAATTTCTGGACAAACCAATTTCTGGTCTCCGTTGATAGATTTGAGTTCATTATGAATCTCGATCTCACTCTCTGTAGCTTGAACTACTACCTTTTCTTCTTCATGAACCATTGACTCTTGTTCTGAGCCTTCATAACTCTGCATTTTCTTTGCTTGAAACCAAAAGGAACAAGAAAATCTTGAGGCCAGATATTTGAATTCCTTGTTCGTACTCCAGAAAAGCTTCAAATTCAAGCAAGAAGCCGTATGTTTTCCAACATACTCAAAAAATAGCAACACAAATGCCGACAAAATAATCCCAACGCTGAGCTTCTTTACCCACAACATCAAAACCACCACCGCAAACAAATTCAAAATTGCAGCCAGAATCACATTCGGTTCGGTTATGCAAACCCGATCAAGAACCCGACCCGAATTACCGCCTCCGTCGACGTGTTTATGAGCGTCTTTTCGAACCAACCAGCTCGAGTGAGCCTCTGAGTCCCTCGTCTCAACAGAGACCTCCACGATATTTCTTGAATTCGATCGCTTCGTCGATGCTGTCGCATCAGACCGGCTTTGGCATTCGCCGACCGGAATAGAACTGCTACCGCAATACGGACCTCCATCAATATCTTCGTGAACGGCTTTATCACCGAATCTTGCTGGAGAAACCCTCAAACTAGTAGCTAAACTCGACGGCGACGGCGGAGGAGCCGGCAACAGAGGTTGAGGATCGGAGATTTCTAAGGGGAGGTGTTTCTTAGAGCTCCGTCTCTGGAAACGGCTTCGATTCTTGACGAAGAGGTCAATGAGAGAAGTGGGGAAGCCAGTTTCAACCACAAGAGAGCCGCCGTGTTTGGGAGAGTGAAGATCGGCGACGATTTGGGAGATACGAGTGATCTTGGTCTTCCTCCATGGAAGCGGCATGTTGAAGAACAAGAAAACGTATCAAGAATGAAAGAGTGAAAATGGACAGAAGTAAGGAGAAGAAGAAGAAGTAGAAATAGCAACGAAAAGATTTTCAGAAGGGTGGGCAGGATAGCTGACTAATAAAGAACGGTAATGAGAGAGAGAGAGAGAGAGAGAGAGCGAGAGAGCGAGAGCGAGTTGTGCCGGTGAGAAAAAAAGAAGAAGGCGTGAGGAAGGAGAAGGACGAAAAAGAGTCAAGGCGCGTGATAGTTGGGGTGTTGTTGAATTCATCATGCCATTCACAAGGCAGTGGACCATTATGTTTTAAAATAATTTATTTTTTCGCACACATGAAATGATGAAAGCAATCTAAGAAATAAAAATAAATACTTTTTTAAAAAAATTATATTTATTTTAAAAATATTTTAACTCTTTTAAAGAGCACCAAAAAAAGAACCCAAAGCTCAATAAAATATGGAGAAACATAGTTATATTTAAAGTAAATTCTTAAAAATTATTAATATGTATAAAAATTTAACAAATAATCAACTTTGCTCATATTATATATACATATTTTAATAATATATTTTTAACCAATATTTAATTTAATGGAACTTAAAAAAGTATGATAAAAATTTAATACTCTAACTTATAAATAGGTTAAAAAATTAACCTCTCCCTGTTTTATAAACAAAACCAAATAGAGTACTGACAACCAATTTAAATATGGAAACATGGCTAGATGTTTAAAGTTCAAACTTTAAAAAAAATATATATATGAAAGTATGTCTAATTATCCGACAACTCACCAAAACTACAGATATTGCGGCTTATCCACAAGACTTTATGTTTGAGCATTTGCAGATGTGAAAAATGTCTTTGAAAGATTTAGTTTAATTGAACTCAATAATAATCTAATCTAATCTAACTCATAATATTCTATAAATATATAAAAAATATATTACAACTTCTTTTCTCTGAACCACAATAAAAGTTATTTTATCAAAGCTTTACTTGATTCAATATATTAGACATTAGGTAGTTATTATATATTTTTTTCAATTATACATTTAGTTTATCAGATAATTATTGAAAATATTTTGAACAAATCAAATGTTATAATTATTGTATGCAAGGGAACGATGTGAAAATTTTTAAAAATCAATATCTTAAATAATATTTTTAGATACATAAATTTATTAGCAATTAAGTGCGAAAGATTATTGTTTCAGACTTTGTGCAACTCACAGAGGACCGAATAACCTAAAATAATAAAAATTACATGAAAGATGATGAAAGCCCTACATTCATTAGTTATGAATGATTTTTTCTATTCATTCTTGCTATTATAATATTGATTGATGATTGATGATACGGATCCTAGTGTAATGTGCTAATGTTACAAGAAGTGCAAAGAAAAAGAAAAACATATTGACACGAACGAAGTGGGGGGCCCATTTCATTTAGTACATAAATATTGATTTGATATTTCAAAAAATAGATAAACACACTTCTATTAAATATTAAATTGTATGGTCTTCAGTAGTTCAATACATGCATGCACCCAAATTACTTAATGCAAGTAAATTGGATTGAAATTGAGATTATTTGTAGTAATCAAAACCAACTCATCATAAAAGTGTGTATAGGAAAAAGTATTATTAGAAATGAACAGTGAAGCTCACATCAAACTTCATGCAAAGGGTTTCAAATTTTAGCAATAATTTTTCGAATAGCTAATATTATCGTGTTATTAATTAATCTATGTTTAAGTTTTGTTAGTCTTAAAATAAAAGTAGTTCCCTCACGCACTTATTTTTAAAACTAACATCACATTGGAAAAACTAAAATGTGAGTGATATCCAAACCTAAGTAATTGAATACCTACTTATGTATACTTAGAGTCTCCAAAAAGAATTAGGCCAGGCCTTTTGCATTACCTATTTAGGCCCTGCATTTTTAGAACTAGGTTTCAAAAAATAGGACATTTTTGCATTAACAAATCTTTTGAGTTTGGCCTTTATAAACCTTTTAAAAGTAAGCTAGGGCACTAACTAGTCCTTTTAGGCTTGTATTTTTCTCTCTCTGTTTCCGTCTGCATGTAAATTAAATTATTGAAAATTATTTGGATGAAACTGTTGATATTACAAAATGACATGATTAAAATTGTTTTGATTGCTTTTATTCTTTGAATTAATATGTGAAAATCACTCAATTTGTTAAACTGTGTACTAGCATAATTAAAAATTAATATTAAAATAATTTAAAAATATTTATGCAGGTTTTTTGAAACTTATCCCTGTCAATGAATTAAGGTCGAGCTTAAAAAATATGATTAATTTAAAATGTGAGAGTATATGAGTTTAAGTCTTTAAAAGTTGGGTTAACTTTTATTTTGAGCTCTATTTATATTCACACACACTTCCCGCTAATGTATCTTTTTCTTTGGGAAACAAAAGGGGGGAGTCATATTGAATGCTTAGATTATAACTGAATTAAACTAATTAAAAGACAAAGGATATTTAATAAAATTAAGAAACTAACTTATAAATAAATGAAGTTCATAGACGAATAGGACTATCAAAAGAAGCAAGACACAACGACAACAAAAACATTTAACTACATAATATATTAATAATAAATTATAAACCACCTCAATTACAAAAACAAAAGTAAAAAAATTTAGATGTACCAAAATCAACATCCTCTACATGCTTTCTTTTTCAACAACAAACGATGTGACCTCATGAAAACATTATCAGTTTTTTTTTTGCTTTTTATAACCACTATTTTGGCCAAAAAAAAAAACCACTATAATTTTTAAATTCTTGTTAATATACACCATATGTTTATCAATTGAAAAGAAAATGGAATACAGTTGCATTAATGTCACCAATGGGATACATCAAAGGCAAGAGCGAAGGAGTGAAGGTAAACAGACATATTGACTTTGAAGTTATTTGGCTTTTTGTATAAATACACTTGGCGATGATGTTGAACCATGTCTCCTCCTTCTGTCATACTCATCACCCAATTTTCCGTCAAAATTAAATTCAGTAGTTGTTAGAAATCAGTTTAGTTGTAAATTAAATATGCAACTTATAATTATATTTTCACAAAATTATAAATTTTATACAAGGTTGTTCAATGAATTTGATAGATTCAGTCTAACTTGAAATTAGATCATTGAAATTGAACGTGGAGGCAAAACCCACTCCCACCTAATTAAAGGTTTGTGTGTATGCACGAGCGCGCTCTTAATTTATATTATTTTATTTTTTATGAGATTATTTTTCTTGATACATTATAGGTACTAAATTAACCTTGTCATTATCATTTTCATGAAAATTTTCAAGAATTCAATATTTTAATTTTGCTGAAAATTTTCAATCATGTTCTTAATATTGTGTAAAAATAATGCATACTTATAGAGTTTTTATAATTTTAAATAAAGTTACTTTTCATCCCAGTATTACCTTTTCAATGGAATATATTTTAGAGGGAAATAATTATACTTTTATTAAAAGATAAAATTAAATTTTTTTTATTTTCTAATTTTTAAATATGAGACAAGGCTAAACCTGTTATTAATCAATCTATATTTAAGTTATGTTTGGCTTAAAATAAAGTAGTTCCCTCATGCACTTTTCTTTTTTTCAAAAAAAACTAACATCACATGGAAAAACTAAAATGTGAGTGATATCAAAACGCAAGTAATGGAATGCCTACTTACTTATACTTAAAGCATTTGATGAGAATTAGGCCTTTTGCATTACCTATTTAGGCCCTGCATTTTTAGAGCCGGGATTCAAAAAATAGAGCTTTTTTGCATTAGAAAATCTTTTAACCTGGCCTTTATAAATCTTTTTAAAAGTAAGCTGGGGCACCAACTAGTCCTTTTAGGCTTGCAATTTTCTCTCTCTTTTTTCAATCTGCATGTAATTTAAATTATTGAAAATTGTTTGGATGAAATTGTTAATATTATAAAATAATGTGGTTAAAATTGTTTGATTTATTTTAATTTTTGAATTATGTGAAAATTACTTAATTCATTAAACTGTGTATTAACATAATTAAAAATTTATATTAAAATAATAAAAATATATATGTGCAGGTTTTCAGACTTAGCCCTATCAATAAATTAAGGTTAGGCTTGAAAAACATGGTTAGTTCAAAATCTGAGGGTTTATAGGTTTCAATTCTTAAGAGTTGGGTTAATCTTTATTAACGGCTCTATCTACATTCACACACACTTCTCACTTATGTATCTTTTTCTATTCAAAAAGTCAATATTGAATGATTAGATTATAACTCAATTAAGCTAATTAAAAGACAAAGGATATTTAAAAAATTAAGAAACTAAATTATAAATAAATGAAGTTGTTAGGCGAATAGGACTCTCAAAAGAAGCAAGACACAACCAAAAAAAAGTTTTCTCAACTACATAATATGTTAATAATAAATTATAAACCACCTCAATTGCAAAAACAAAAGTAAAAAAAATTAGATGTACCAAAATCAACATCCTCTACATGCTTTCTTTTTCAACAATAAACGATGTGACCCCATGAAAACATTATCATTTTTTTTTTCTCTTTTCGTAACCACTATAATTTTTAAATTCTTGTTAATATACACCATATATTTATCAATTGAAGAGAAAATGGAATACAGTTGCATTAATGTCACCAATGGGATACAGCAAAGGCAAGAGTGAACGAGTGAATATAAATGGAGATATTGACTTTGAAGTTATTTGCCTTTTTGTATAACTTGGCGATGATGTTGAACCATGTCTCCTCCTTCTGTTATACTCATCATCCAATTTTCCGTCAAAATTAAATTTAGTAGTTGTTAAGAATCGGTTTAGTTGTAAATTAAATATGCAACTTATATTTTTACAAAATTATAAGTTTTATATGAGGCTGTTCAACCAATTCAATAGGTTCAGTCTAACTTGACATATTGGTTAGGTCCTTGAAATTGAATGTGGAGGCAAAAGCCGGTCCCATTGAGTGAGATATGTGTGTGTATGTGCTTAATTTATATTACTTTAATTTTTTATTAGGTTATTGATACATCATACGTACTAAATTAACCTTGTCATTATCATTTTCATGAAAATTTTCCTGAATTCAATATTTTAATTTTGCTGAAAATTTTCAATCAAGTTCTTAATATTGCGTAAAAAATAA